GCGTGACAGGTGCAGCACTTCGTATGACCTGGCATCAATTTTCCGTGGCAGGCGCAGTACTTTAGACAGGTGGACTGGAAAAATCGCAAAACGCATTGGTGCGAGGCTGTCAACTCTGCACTCAACTTTCCATTTTTGAAGGAAGTCTCGCAGAATTCTTTCGTTTTTGATGTCTTGACCTTCGAAAAATGAGGAAGTCTCGCAGAATTGCTTCGTTTCGGATGTTGTCAAGTTCAAAAAATGAGGATGTCTCGCAGAATTGTTTCGTTTTGGACGTTGTTATCTTCAAACATTAAGGAAGTCTCGCAGAATTTCTTCGTTTTTGATCTTGCAGATAGATAGAAGGATAGAAAGATACATAGATAGACAGACAGAGAGAGATAGATAGATAGATAGATAGATAGATAGATAGATAGATAGATAGATAGATGGCTAGATAGATAGATTAGATTAGATTAGATCAGATCAGATCAGATCAGATCAGATAGATAGATAGATAGATAGATAGATAGAGATCGATAGATTAGATAGATAGATAGATGGATGGATGGATGGATGGATCGATCGATCGATAGATAGATAGATAGATAGATAGATAGATATCTAATAGATAGATAGATAGATGGATAGATAGATAGATAGATAGATAGATAGAGATCGATAGATAGATAGATAGATAGATAGATAGACAGATAGATACATAGACACATAGACAGATAGACAGATAGTTAGATACCAAGATCGATAGATAAATAGAGAGATAGATACATAGACAGATAGATAGACAGACAAACAGACAGACAAATAGATAGAGAGACAGTTTGATCGATAGATAGACGGAGAGATAGGCAGATAGATAGATAGTTAGATAGATAGACAGATAGATAGATAGATAGATAGGTACATAGACAGATAGATAGAGAGACAGTTTTGAGTGATAGATAGATGGAGAGATAGATAGAAAGAAAGATAGATAGATAGACAGCTAGATAGATAGATAGGGAGATAGATAGACAGACAGATAAAAAGATAGATAGATAGACAGATCGATCAGTAGGTAGGTAGGTAGATAATCAGAGAAAGATAGAGAAGCAGAGAGAAAAAGAGAGAAAGAGAAAAAAGAGAGAGAGAGAGATCAAGCACCTTTCAGTCCATCAGTGTCTTCGCTCTGCCATCCCTGAGTCACAACAACCAACCTCTCCTATAGGTTTCCTATTTTTGAAACTTCCGCCACCGCCTTGTGCGGTACTACTGGTATAGATATATCTGCTATAAAGAATGATCAAGATATATCTACCATATAAATCCAAATAATTCTATAGATGAACTTGTAGAAAAATATAGACATATGTACCATTAACCCAACAGTTGAGCTACTTATAAACCAACATAGCAAAGGATTTTGGACCACATTATTACCACATTCAGTATCAGTATTGGAATCTTCAGCCACAAAGTACTGGTTATAATACATGCTCTACATAAATGGGCCTTGTAACCTAAGGGGAGTCACCAGGACATCCTGAGAGCTTTCTTGCCGGTGCGCTTAGACGTCTACGAGAAGCGGAAGGCACCGCGGCACCGCTGCTTGCGGCGGCCGTTTGTTTTTTATTCGATGGGGTCCTTGCAGAAATGTAAATCTCGCAATGGAGGGAATTAACGTAACTTGTTTTTTTCAAAAGTCTGGAGCTTTTAAGAGCCAGGAAGATTTGGTGTCAACGCCAGTAAGAGGCCAGGTGCGTGTTGATATTTTGGCGTCTTGATATTTTTGGGGTGGGGGGGTGGTGTGGGGTGGGGTAATAACGTCCTGCTCGACTTCTACTCCATAGTGCTCTTGCACTTCCACACATACGTCAACTGCTGGATGTTCTCTTGCACTTCACATACGTCATGCTACGTTTCTGGATGTTCTCTTGCACTTCCACACATACGTCATGCAACGCTGCTGGATGTTCTCTTGCACTTCCACACATACGTCATGCAACGCTGCTGGATGCTCTCTTGCGCTTCCACACATACGTCATGCTACGCTGCTGGATGTTCTCTTGCACTTCCACACATACGTCATGCTATGCTGCTGGATGTTCTCTTGCACTTCCACACATACGTCATGCAACGCTGCTGGATGTTCTCTTGCACTTCCACACATACGTCATGCAACGCTGCTGGATGCTCTCTTGCGCTTCCACACATACGTCATGCTACGCTGCTGGATGTTCTCTTGCACTTCCACACATATGTCATGCTATGCTGCTGGATGTTCTCTTGCACTTCCACACATACGTCATGCTATGCTGCTGGATGTTCTCTTGCACTTCCACACATACGTCATGCAACGCTGCTGGATGTTCTCTTGCACTTCCACACATACGTCATGCAACGCTGCTGGATGCTCTCTTGCGCTTCCACACGTACGTCATGCAACGCTGCTGGATGTTCTCTTGCACTTTCACACATACGTCATGCTATGCTGCTGGATGTTCTCTTGCACTTCCACACATACGTCATGCTATGCTGCTGGATGTTCTCTTGCACTTCCACACATACGTCATGCAACGCTGCTGGATGTTCTCTTGCACTTCCACACATACGTCATGCAACGCTGCTGGATGCTCTCTTGCACTTCCACACATACGTCATGCTACGCTGCTGGATGTTCTCTTGCACTTTCACACATACGTCATGCTATGCTGCTGGATGTTCTCTTGCACTTCCACACATACGTCATGCAACGCTGCTGGATGTTCTCTTGCACTTCCACACATACGTCATGCAACGCTGCTGGATGTTCTCTTGCACTTCCGCACATACGTCATGCAACGCTGCTGGATGCTCTCTTTCGCTTCCACACATACGTCATGCTACGCTGCTGGATGTTCTCTTGCACTTCCACACATACGTCATGCTATGCTGCTGGATGTTCTCTTGCACTTCCACACATACGTCATGCTACGGTGCTGTGCGTTCTCTTGCACTTCCACACATACGTCATGCTATGCTGCTGGATGTTCTCTTGCACTTCCACATATACGTCATGCAACGCTGCTGGATGTTCTCTTGCACTTCCACACATACGTCATGCAACGCTGCTGGATGTTCTCTTGCACTTCCACACATACGTCATGCTACGCTGCTGGATGCTCTCTTGCACTTCCACACATACGTCATGCTATGCTGCTGGATAATGTTCTCTTGCACTTCCACACATACGTCATGCTACGGTGCTGTGCGTTCTCTTGCACTTCCACACATACGTCATGCTATGCTGCTGGATGTTCTCTTGCACTTCCACATATACGTCATGCTATGCTGCTGGATGTTCTCTTGCACTTCCACACATACGTCATGCAACGCTGCTGGATGTTCTCTTGCACTTCCACACATACGTCATGCTATGCTGCTGGATGCTCTCTTGCACTTCCACACATACGTCATGCAACGCTGCTGGATGCTCTCTTGCGCTTCCACACATACGTCATGCTACGCTGCTGGATGTTCTCTTGCACTTCCACACATACGTCATGCTATGCTGCTGGATGTTCTCTTGCACTTCCACACATACGTCATGCTACGGTGCTGTGCGTTCTCTTGCACTTCCACACATACGTCATGCTATGCTGCTGGATGTTCTCTTGCACTTCCACATATACGTCATACTTTGCACTCCACATACCATGCTGCTGGATATAATGCACTTCACACATACGTCCATGTATGCTGCTGGATGTTCTCTTGCACTTCCACATACATACGCACTTCATCATGACTATGCTGCTGGATGTTCTCTTGCACTTCCACACATACGTCATGCTACGGTGCTGTGCGTTCTCTTGCACTTCCACACATACGTCATGCTATGCTGCTGGATGTTCTCTTGCACTTCCACACATACGTCATGCTACGGTGCTGTGCGTTCTCTTGCACTTCCACACATACGTCATGCTATGCTGCTGGATGTTCTCTTGCACTTCCACACATACGTCATGCTACGGTGCTGTGCGTTCTCTTGCACTTCCACACATACGTCATGCTATGCTGCTGGATGTTCTCTTGCACTTCCACACATACGTCATGCTACGGTGCTGTGCGTTCTCTTGCACTTACACACATGCGTCAACGGCAATGTCCTGAACAACCTCGGCCAACTTTGTGCTTGACACCAAAAAAAGAACTTTTCGGCGAAACCCTCGGCAAACAAAATTGGAATTTCGTATTCGTGCTTGTAAAACACTAAATTTTCCACTTTTGAGGTCACCTTTCCAAGGGATTTGCACCAGAAATTTATTCCAGAAAACTAAACATGTGCAAATTACAACAGTTTCGGACATTTCCATCATCGTCCTGGGGCTGTGTGATGTCATCACCGACACGGCCTCTTACAGACCTTGTTACCTTCCAGGAAGATTTTTGTTTTCAAGTTTGTGGGGTGTATAGGCATGACTTGGAATGCTGTTTACTTCAAACATCAGCAGCAGCGTTGCTTTAAATTGAGTGGTTGACCGTTCAAAAGGTGTATGTATTGCATTTTAGTAACCCCAAAACATATAGACATGTAATATATTGTAATATCTCATGATTATTTTAGTGGGCGTTGACTTTCATATCCTTCTTTTGGGTGCTATAATATGTGTATATGCATATATATATATACTCATAGATTGAAAAACCAATAACGATTGTAGCATGAACTATGCAAGAACCTTTGACTGTGGGGCATGCTCTCACAGCGAGGTGAATCGACCTCTCATGAACTTTTGGAAGAAAAGGGATGCCCAAATGGACCCAAATATCAGGAATAGGGATGAATATGTTTTTGATGAGTGATCAAGCAAACATATGCCTCTTGGAACGAGGAGTTGATTTTTGCATATCCTTACAGATAGTGTAGTAACTCCCAACAAGATGCAGAAAAGGTGAACAATTTACATCAGTTTACAATATATTTACCAGATTAGGGTAGTTTTTCTATCGAGCAGAACCTAACCTACCTGAGTGGTTGAGGCTTTCCTTGTGGCGAAGATGGAAAGAGAACTGGCTGTGATCTTCAACAAGTCTCTTGGCGAAGACAGGCGAGACCACGTCCAAAAAATTTGGCCAATTTAATGGTGATTTAATGTGATTTAATGGGCTGATTTAATGGGATTTAATAGCAATTAATTTTATGTGATTTTGCCGTGACTTAATAGGATTTTACAGTGATTTAAGGGGACTTTACGGTGATTTCATGGGATTTTATGGTCAATTTAAGTGTGGTGTTACAGGAATTTCATGGATTTTTTTCGTGGGATTTTTTTTGGGATTTCACGAGCCAATTTATGGTGGAACATGGAATTATTGGATATTTTAATATGGATGTGGGTCAAAATGGAAGACCTAGGGAACCACAGATGTTAGTCTAGTTTAGTATTAACCATCCAATTATTGGGGTACCTAATTTTGACCCATACCCAATATTAATATATAATTACCAGTAACCAACTTGATCTGATATTTGGCTTTGGAACCGGAGGGTTAACATGGATTTAACCTCCCAAAATGGCAATTTAAATACGCACGACGTATCTGACCAACTCGTTTTGATGTAGGAAACCCATGGCTTTCATGGTCCCCAACGACCATGACCTCTGCCAAGCTAGATACGTTACTAGCCGGTTCTGCAACTGATTCGCGTTAGTAACCATAGCATGATTCACTATGACTACTGAAACTGATTGATGTTGATACACTATGATAATCATAATATGATTCACAATATTAGCCATGACTCACATAAAACATGATTATCCATGATTGCCTCAACTGATTCACCTTGATAGGTTTTGATTAACCATGATTAATCATGAGTAACCATGATAAACAATGATTAACAATGATTCACCATGATTTCTGTAACTCATTGATGTTTCTTAAACATGATTACGCACGACCAATAGACCATGAGTAACCATAAGTAACCATGATTGGCCATGAGTACTGTAACTGGCTAATACTGACAAAGATAACTGGCATGATTCACCATGAACTTCATGAACCATGATGAAATTTCACAATGATTACTGTAACCATGAACAATGAACAATGATTGACAATGCATATATATATAACAATGATTTTTTTCACAGTGACTAGTAGACCATGATTATATAAACATGATTTTCACATTTTCAACCATTATTAACCATGATGAACCATCATTTAGCCATTAAAGCATCACTAAATCACAGGTTGAAACCATGATTAACCATTACCCTCTGGTAATTTAACATAGCTATTGAACATGGCCATAGAAATAGTTGATTTACCCATTAATAGCATGGTGGATCTTTCCATGGTTATCTAAACGTTTACCAAAGGGTACCCCTCAATCATCCATTTTAACAAAGGGATTTTCCACCACCCCACTACAAATCATCCACTAGAAACCATGATTAACCATTAAGTATCCCTTATTTATCCCATTAAATCATCACTAAACCATAGGTTGAAACCATGATTAACCAGTAACCATGGACACAACCAGTTGATCAACCTGGCCCAGGCTGAGCTTCGTGGAACACGTCCTGGCTGACAGGTCGGATCATGTCGGGAATCGAGGGAATCTGAAACGCGAAGCGCAGAATTTACAACGGACCGTTGGTCAATCTAAAGAAATGCATGGACATAGACATACACATGGTATATACAGTGTATATTATATATATAATTATATATACACATTGTCACATATTGTTATTATTTATATAATCCAACTACTATATATATATATTATATAGATGATTTGTATGTAAGACGTGTAATTACAATGTATACAAAGACATACTTGAAACGCATGTTCGAACAATCAGGGATTGAAACTTACCAGGCATCACGTCATTGACAATTGACCACCTTTGTGGAACCCTAAACCCAGCCTCGATTTGTTGGGTAATCAATAATTAGTTGGGTAATCCAATTTCGTGATATATATATATATATTATGTATATAATGAGATCAATAGTTTATATGTTAGTTGGGAACAATTTTTGGGTCTAACATGGTCTAACTATAGATGGTATCAAAGTCAGGTCAGCCAGACATGTTGGAAAAAAACTCGTCCAGTTGGAGATCTTCCCCCCAGATATCTCCAGTCGCGGTGTTTGTTGTCCCAGGCTGGACGTGGAGAAGAAGAAGATGGTGGACCTCTGTCGCAAGATGCGCAAGCTCGGGCTGCAGCACATGTGCGACATCAAGGGCTCGGCTTCCATCAAGGCCGACTCCGAGGCACGGAGCGGAAGAAATATGGGACCGATAGATGGACCGATCATCGTGGGAGCTTCTGGAAACAGAACTTTTTGATGAGTTATATATATATATATAAGTTGTGTATAAGTTATGTAATGTTAATTAATGTTATTTATCAGTTGTGTTCAAAGTTCAGAAGCCCAGTTGCATGGACCGTGCACCTGGTGGTATTTTTGGCTCAGCTTCAAACAACCTGGAGGAACACGAGTGGAGAAACAGCCTGGGTAATTCATCCAGGTGCTACGGCTCAAAAACAGCGCCTGGACTGATCAAATGAGTCGCTTGAAGGATCTGAAACCATCTGAAACCATCTGAAGCCATCCAAGACGAGTCAATTTGGTGGTCAGGAATTTTCGAAGAATCAACCGACGGACATTTTTAACTGTAGCAGTGTAGAAGGCTTCAACAATCAGAAAAAAACTCTTCGAAACTTCGCGCGCGGAGTCATGCAGGCGCCGGTGGATGTAGCACTAGTCATCCCGTGGAATGTGGTTAAAGCAATGCCATTTGCACCATCCCCCAGTCATCACCGTCATCACCATATGTTTACCATTCCCAGTCAGTCGGGTGGTAAAAATGACATTGTTTTAACCACATTAAAGCCCATTATATCCCATTAATTGGTCCACTATCCCCATTAGTTGTTCTTATATTGGATGATGAAAAGTCCAGTGGTACCGGTGGTACCAGTCTTGATCCAGAGCTGGAAATGGACGAGATGAAAACTCAGTGCATGGGGAAGCACGACTCTAGCCATTTAGCCATGGGGAGGAAAGGATCTACTCGGTGTTTCCCAACATTTTAACAGATTTTAACAGATTTGAACAACTTTCAGGAAGAAAGTCAGACATCCGGATGGTCCTCACCCAGCTTTCAGATTCTTTTTGGAATGGAAGGTTATCCGTTGTCAGTCTGAATTCAGCCCTTTTTTTATCAGAACGGCCCCTCATGGGGGAGTGACTTTTGCTCTAAAAATGGTCGAACATACTGGTCTTTACAGTGAAGTAGGCTTAAAACCACTATTTTAGAGCAAAAAAAAAACAGTGCACCTCCAAAGGCTATCATATGCTGTCATAAATCACTGGCATCTACAGACTCTTGTGACAGGATTCTAATTTTTTCCTGTGAGGCTGAGGCAAAGAACTACAAACAATCAGCACATCACAGAGATTATTGGCATGTTGGGAAATCCATGGGAAATCCATTGGAAAATCCATTGGAAAATCCATTGGAAAATCCATTGGAAAATCCTTGGGAAATCCATTGGAAATTCGTGTTTTTCAGATCATCCATGATGCCAAGGGAAATCCCATGGGGAAATCCATCCCCAGGGGACGCCATGGGTTCCATACTCCAGATTTACTTCAAAGAAAAACAGAAAACACCATGGTTAATACTGGATGAGTTGATGAAGATGTATAAAATCCAGTATTTTCATCATGAACATGAAAAACATTGAAAAACCATCAATTATCTGGCAAGACCCCTGCATTTGCCAGATAAAGAAACATTCACATGGTTTCCTGTAATGTCCTCTAGACTTGTCCTTGAAACCAATCTAATGATGGTCGGCAAAGCATGTATGTGTATCCGGCAATCCACATGATATGTCTCAACAGTTTGGTACCCCCCAAATCCGTATAGGGCTGCCAACACTAAATCCCTATTAGAATGATATTATACTTGGGAGACACACCCACAAATCAAGTTGTGGGCTGGTAGCTCAATCTGCTGGCTATTGTATATACATATCCGTTGAAATAATTCCATTAAATCCATGAACAAATCCCCAGAACATGGTTTTCAAACATATCCATTATATGGGATCTATTGATATTAGCATTAATTACTTTTTTTAAGGGTATCCCCTCCATTTTGAGGCACGTCCATCATATCAAGTTGCTTCTTGGTAGTTACTGCTTTGCCATAATTATCCTCATGACAACGAAAATGGCCAAATCACCAATTGCAACCTAAAGAAAAACCTAAAGCATATCAAGTTGATTGGTTAATTCTCGTTTATGTAATGTACCCTCTGGTTATTTAACATAGCCATGGAAGCCATGGCCCATAGAAATAGATGGTTGACCTATTAACAAATGGGTGGATCTTTCCATGGCAAACTGTTAGTCATAACCAGATGGTAATCCCATTAAAGAACCATGGTTTTCTGTAGGGGTATCCCCCATTTTGAGAACCCTCCCCTGAAAATTCCGCCAGGCACCGGAAGCCAGTCGCATCGCAAGCATCTTGCGCGCACAGGTCGCGCGGATTTCCGAGCCATGGTGACTAAAATGAACATATAATACGATAGTATACAGTATATATATATAAGTATCACATATAATGATTATAATATCACATATAATATCATATTCTATAATATTCTATAGATATCATTATAAATATCATTGAAATTCCATATTCTATCACAATGATTATTATCATCCTGATAGTACGTGTATATATATATAATATGGGTGTTCTGCTGAGGTGTATCTAGTATTGATCCTGGGCTGGTGGTTTACACCAGCTATCCGATCCTGATGGGATCCTGGTACCCATCAAGCTCAGGGTTTCCCCAAAATATCATTGGATTACCCTCTGGTAAATTCACAGTTTGCTATTTTCAAATGGCCATAGAAGTTGATTTACCCATTAAAGATGGTGTTTTTTCTATATCTACCCATGGAAATGTCTATCTTCACCACATTTTTCACCATGGATGGGAAACCCATCGTCTTCGTCTTCGATGGGGAAAATCACCGGAAACCCGGGAGAAAATCCCAGGACGCCTGGCCCGAGCCTCTGACCTCCATTGATGCTCGGTTGGGGGTTTTAGGTGCCCATAGGTGCCCCCCAAAAATGGCAATTTCATATCATTTACCCTCTGGTAACGACTAACATAGCTATTGAACATGATCATTTGTAGTTGATTTTCCCATTAATAGCATGGTGATTTTCCATAGTTATGTTAGTTTACCAGAGGGTATAGGGATACACATAAAAACGATCAACCAACGGTATAGTTCCCCTTGAAAACTGGGGACCCGTAAATCTACTGGTTTAATTGATAAGGATGATAAACCAATGGATGGAATGAGGTAGCCAATTTTCAAACAAAGCCATGAAGATTCCACTGCCACTTGATAAAATGGTAAGATAGAAGAGTAACACCCAAGCGAAGTAGTGGTCATACATGTAGTGGTAAATGACTTGTCTAACTACATCCTAGCTGGTTAAATCATATCACATGTTTTGTTTTTTTGATTCCAAATGTTCATTGATCAAGTTCAATTTATATCCGCACCCTTTTTTTCGACGTCAAAATTGACTGGTGAAATCCATGTTCCGTTCTTAAAAAACATGGGACATCCATGGTAATTTCATGGTGATTTCCATGGGGATTTTCGACCGGGATCTCCAGATGTTCAGATGCCACGAATCGCCCAGGACTTTGCCCATCGCCTTGCAACGCAGCAACGGCAGCTGGTGGACAAGTGTCTTTGAGAGAGATGTTGGGGGCTGGTTGGTGGTGGTGGTTTATGCTGGTTGGATCTGGTTGGTGGTTTGGAACCATAAGCAATGGATTGGTTTAAGGGAAAATTTACAGGAAAGCCCCATATTTAATGGGAAAATCTATGGTTTCCTGTAGATTTTCCCTTAAACCAATCCATTTACATAAGCAACAACCACCAACCAGCATAAACAATTGATGGCATTACTAATGATGATGGTAAAACAACTACTATGATAATTCTGGTTGATGGTTTGGAACATTTTGGAACATGAATTCTACGACTTTCCATATATTGGGAATTTCATCATCCCAACTGACGAACTCTTTTTTTTTTTCAGAGGGGTAGGTATACCACCAACCAGTATATGGTCTTGCGATGTTTTTTTTTTTGATGGGTTCAACAAGGGTGAAGGGGTGGGGGTACTGGAGGTCTTCATGGATGTGTTTCTTTGTAGCTGGTATTTTTCAAGCCTATGACGCCAGATTTGTCTGGGCGGCTGGGACGGGTTAAAAAAACAATAGATATGTATAGATATGTAGTATATCACTTTATTATGTAGTATATCACTTTATCACATTTTATCACCATCAAAAACAAGAAGGACTCTGTGTGAATCTGTCATGCCACGTGGATTTCATCGTTTGCCAGGGGGAAACTTTTCAATGATGGGGATAGGTGACCTCATTCCTGCTTCGGTCCCAGTGACCAGGATGCCTTGGTAAGGCTATGCCGATTCCTGGGGGTTATAGCTGGATGGTTTCCATAATAGAAGAATACAATTAACATGTGGATAGTTTGGGGGTACCCCGATTTCAGGAAACCTCCATATGACTATGAAGGGTTCTATTTTCTCTGTCTTTTATCATCAGTTTTAGTTGCAGAATCCGTTCTGTTTCGACTCTCTTACACCGGAAAGGCTTGTGATCAAGCCCCTGTGAAAGGCTTGTACATACCCAATATGCCCCAATAGTCCCCAATCAAAACCCTTGCAGCCAGGGTGGTACTTGGTGCGCAGTTCCAGTTATAGGTGGTTAATGGTGGTTATACTCGACCATACTTAACCAATGTTCACCATTATTTACCGGGGGGGATATCGCAACAAACATGGTACCATAATGTTGGAATCCGCCCATACCATAGTTATCTGGTTGGTGGTTTGGAACATGTATTATTTCTCCATATATTGGGAATAATAACCCCAACTGACTTTCATATTTTTCAGAGGGGTAGGTATACCACCAACCAGTTATACACATGCACTCTATGATACTCTATGTTATAACAATGTTAAACTCCCATAGTTCCAGCAATTTTTCTTCCCCCCTCCGCTGTAGGTCCGATGCCTTCAGGTTAACGTCTCCCAACGTTGGGGTGGCCCATGGTGGGGGGACAGGCAGGTGCCAATGATGGTTAGCCTTTGGCAAACCAGCTTAGCTATGGAAAATCACCATGTTCAATAAGTATCAATGGAGGTTTCCTAGAATGGGGGTTCCCCCAAATCATCCATTTTAAGAGGATTTTCCATTCTACAACATCCATTTTGGGGGACCCCCATTCGTGGAAACCCCTAAATGGGCCATTTGCCAGAGCTATGTTAGTTTACTGGAGGCTGCTATATGCCTTACGAAGCTTGGGGATTTGTTTCAAGAAACATGGCGGGTTCACAATGGCTGACCAAACATAGTTCATCCGGATGGTGGTGCATGACTTATGGAGATTTAACCAACACACACATGGGAAGAGAAGCGCGGCATGACCAACGGTAGTTAAATTGGGAGGAATTGATATCCATTTGGAACCGTGCAAGCAAAACAGGCATGTGTATGTACTGTAAGATTATGTAAGCATATGTAAGCTATATATATGCATGATTTTACACGCCCTTATTTGTCCAGAAAGCATTGTTGCTACAGTACTTCAAATGAGTTGATAAATTCTGACGGTTTCTCAAAAAGGGGGTTCTGGGAAACACCCATTTGGACGTCCGTGGACATGTGTCAAAATGCTGAACCACAGATACTAACCCCTGTTGATTGTTGCTTTTTTTTGGGGCTATATACTAACTGGATCTTACTGGTTTCTTGGATTATGATAACCAATCATGGGGATATTCATTTGCCAACCACTATGGGATGGTATGCCCGCGGGGCGATAGTTTCAACGGCTGTTTCTGAAAGCTCTCATTTTGGAAGGCTAAGTGCGCCGTGTCCAAAGACTTTGTGGCCTGGAAAGGTAGTAAAGTAATAATAATATATATATATTATATATATATATTTATGTATTATATATATGTATACCCTCTGGTTATTTAACGTTGCTATGGAGAATCCACCACTTTCAACGGGTAATTCCCATCATTCCAATAAAAAAAGGATGGCCCATGGCGTCCATGGCTTCCATAATATAGTTAAAAGACTAGAGGGTAGTTATATGTACTATGTGTAATGGTTATTAATGGTTCATGATGGGTATTAATGATGGTTATTAATGATGGTGACTGGTTGGTGCTTTGGAACATGAATTTAGTTTTTCCCCCATTTTCGTTGGGATGATGATCCAATCTGACGAACTCACTCCATCATTTCAGGGGGGTAGGTATACCATGGCCCAATGGGTGGGAACCTCGATGGGAATTCCTCGCTTCCAGCGCGGCTTTTCCAGCCAGCCCTGAGACATACAAAAAGTCTCGGTGGTCTCCGTCCATGCGCATGATAGCACACAATTTTAAGCCCAAACATATCAAAACATCCAAAGCTGTGTTTTTCACCAGAGACGTACGGAATAGATTTTGCAGGTATGGAAAATCCAGGATTTTCCCAGGAGCATGGCGGATTTGCCGGATCTATGTTGATTTACCCGGGGGCCTTGTGTGTTTTGAATACTGCCAGCCAAACAGAGAACAGATCCACCTGGGGAGAAGTCAACATTCCGATAGTTTCACATAGTTTCACCACTTCATCTGAGTGGTTGACTCGTCTGTCACAATGTCGGCCTCCAAGCTGCGCTTGCCGACCTACTCTTCCCTGCTGCAGCCCAACGACAGCGAGGATGGTATTGGACGGGGGGGTTCTCCAGAAATGGGGTACTAAAATCCAGTGGTGCACTTTGGTGCAATGCTCTAAATCTATCTAAATCTGCTTTTCATGTTCATCGATTTTTGATCATTTCGGAGTATGTGTATATCACATCACCATCCATGATTATTCACCCATTATTTCTACAGGATTTGTTTCTAATATTCAGATAACATATTATTTATCCTAATACACAAATATTTCAAAACATACAGAGCCACCCAAATGGGGGTTATGACCATGAAATAGTCGGCGAAGGAGCACACCTCGCTAGGATGTGAACAGTCCCATGAGCCCGACGAATCAACAGCTGGGCGACGAAACGAACCAACGCTGCGACGATTATCGGTGTCAGTGTGGCTGGGCTCGAACAAAAAAGGAACTTCAACGGATCGATCTGGCCCCACTTGGGATCCGTGGTTTATAATCCAATATAATCCATATAAGTCCATAATTTATATACTATATAAATATAATCCCATGTATAAGTGGGGATATTCCATGTATAACTGGGGGTATAGGCTTAATTTACTAAGTGGGATGCACCCCCCAGAAAGGAGGTGTGGAGGTAGATTTCGGGAATACCTAAGAAATACCGTATCACCATGATGGGATATGAATGGCATCTTAATGGGGAGATGCTGGGTGGCCTTCATCTCATGGGTAAATCTATGCATAGTTGTCGAAATCAAACTTTTGAATCGTTTGATCCGTTCCAATATGTTCGGATGTATTATATCTAGCTCCTGGGATATTTTTGCGAGATTTGGTATGTGGTCAGCTCAGAAAGTGCAATTCCGTTTGTGACCAAAATGATGAAAACCCCAAGAGAACATGGATTGTTTTCGGATCCTGAAATGGTGAGTTAAGCGGTATGACTTTTGTGGGTCATTGAAGGCAATGTCAACCTAGTATGAACACACAACGTGGCTAACTAATTAGGAATATTTGGATATATGGGGGATCCCTGATCCCTGCAAAAGTGATCCAAATTGATGGAAAAGGAAAAAGTGGAACATCTTCAATCTCATATGCTCCATGGAACTGTTGCTCTAACATTATTCTCCAACATGATCCGGTCATGTGCCGGTAAATATTCCATACAGATTGAGCATATGTGCCATGGTCAAAACATGATTAACATGATTTATATTTCTCCAGAAAGAAGGGGATGGTCATCAATCCACCAATTCGGTATGTTTGGATTCCCAACAACGGTGCGGTGACAGTAAGCCATATAATATAATATAATATAATATAATATAATGGGGTAAACCCAATGCTAATAAACCATTTCCCAAATCAGCATTTTTATGGGTGGTATACATATAAATATTAATGTCACTATATATATATATATATATCAATATATATCCGCCGACCCCGGCAGACGCAAGGGGGAGCGCGCCAGGGAATAAGACAAGCAAAGACAAGCAAGTTTAGCCGCACTAGCAGCAAGAGCAGCGGCAGCAGCAGCGGCAGCAGCAGCAGCAGCAGCAGCAGCAGAAGCGATAGCATGTATTTTCTCCGCAGGTAGGCTGCTGAGTTTTTGTGCACCAGCTTCCCGGAAGTCTTGTGGGTCGGCCATGTAGGAATGCATGGTTGTCTTCGGATAAGCGTCCGACGCGAAGTTCGGCTTGCAGGGCCTGTTCGTCCTTCCGTGCCTTGCTGTTTTGGTGCCGGGAGGTGCTTTTGATACTCTTCTGTTAGCAGCAGCAGGTGCTTTTGGGCAGCAGCAGCAGCAGGTGAGCTGGTGGGAGATTGAAAAAGTGGAAAAGATTGAGAAAAAGACAGGGAGCAGCAGGCAGCAGCAGGCAGCAGGCAGCTGCAGGCAGCAGCAGGCAGCAGCAGGCAGCAGCAGACACCAGCAGAGGCAGCAGCAGGCAGCAGCAAGCAGCAGCAGGCAGCGGCAGGCAGCGGCAAAGTTGCAATTTTATAGTAGGGTTTCAGAAGTGACGTTAAGCCCTTTTTTGGGGTTCCTTTGCTACGTTTTGGGTACGAAATTAGGTGGTGTTTTGCTGTTTCGGATGTGTTTCGAAAAGGGTGTCTGGCTGTTTGTTTCTTGCTTTGGAGGCTGTTTGATTGCAGCAGCACCACAGCAGCAGCAGCAGCAGCAGCCACCAGCAGCAGCACCAGCAGCAGCACCAGCAGCAGGCAGCAGCAGGCAGGCAGCGCAGGCAGGCAGCAGCAGCAGGCAGCAGCAGGCAGCAGCAGCAGCAGCAGCAGGCAGCAGCAGGCAGCGGCACAGCAGACACCAGCAGAGGCAGCAGCAGGCAGCAGCAAGCAGCAGCAGGCAGCGGCAGGCAGCGGCAAAGTTGCAATTTTATAGTAGGGTTTCAGAAGTGACGTTAGGCCCTTTTTTGGGATTCCTTTGCTACGTTTTGGGTACGAAATTAGGTGGTGTTTTGCTGTTTCGGATGTGTTTCGAAAAGGGTGTCTGGCTGTTTGTTTCTTGCTTTCGAGGCTGTTTGATTGCAGCAGCACCACAGCAGCACCACAGCAGCAGCAGCACCAGCAGCAGCCACCAGCAAGCAGCACCAGCAGCAGGCAGCAGCAGGCAGGCAGCCGCAGGCAGCCGCAGGCAGCAGCAGGCAGCAGCAGGCAGCAGCAGGCAGCAGCAGGCAGCGGCAGGCAGCGGCAGGCAGCGGCACAGCAGACACCAGCAGAGGCAGCAGCAGGCAGCAGCAAGCAGCAGCAGGCAGCGGCAGGCAGCGGCAGGCAGCGGCAAAGTTGCAATTTTATAGTAGGGTTTCAGAAGTGACGTTAGGCCCTTTTTTGGGGTTCCTTTGCTACGTTTTGGGCACGAAATTAGGTGGTGTTTTGCTGTTTCGGATGTGTTTCGAAAAGGGTGTCTGGCTGTTTGTTTCTTGCTTTGGAAGCTGTTTGATTGCAGCAGCACCACAGCAGCAGCAGCAGCAGCCAGCAGCAGCACCAGCAGCAGGCAGCAGCAGGGAGCAGCAGGCAGGCAGCCGCAGGCAGCTGCAGGCAGCAGCAGGCAGCAGCAGGCAGCAGCAGACACCAGCAGAGGCAGCAGCAGGCAGCAGCAGACACCAGCAGACACCAGCAGAGGCAGCAGCAGGCAGCAGCAAGCAGCAGCAGGCAGCAGCAGGCAGCGGCAAAGTTGCAATTTTATAGTAGGGTTTCAGAAGTGACGTTAGGCCCTTTTTTGGGGTCTTGTACGTTTGGGGACGAATGAGGTGGATGGTGTTTTGCTGTTTCGGATTGTGTTCGAAAAGGGTTGGTCTGGCTGTTTGTTCTGCTTTGGAGGCTGTTTGATTGCAGCAGCACCACA